GAATTGGCGATGCCGACGGCGTCCTAGGGCTTCGCGCGCTGCGCCGCGACCGGCCTCAGCCGCAGCAGGCTGAGTCGTGGCAAGGTGCTCAACTGGCCCGCCGGGTATTCGCTCTACACCGTCAAAGGTGCCTGTTTTTAAATACATTGCTCGTAGAAGTTTCTGCAAGGTAGAATGTTTGTCAAGGTTCACGTACAGCTGGCGTTCGGGACTCTGGAGTGCAGGTGTAGAGTTCAGGGGGCACTCGTGTCTTCAATTCCGAATAAATTCTATAAATTAGAAAAATTAATAGAGGTGGCTATGTACTAAGGTAAGTACACTGAGAAAAAAGAGTTAACTGACTCGCGGAAACCTACATTGGGAAATAAAATTCTGCGACCCAATACCCCCAAAGAGATGTCCGATCTAAGATGCACAATTCGTTTAAATCAACATCAATTTTTTTTTTCCCCCAAGAAAACAATTGTCTCTTGCAATTGTATGTGCATTAGGCAACGATATAATATTTGCGTCAGTCAACTCATTTTTTTTCTCAGGGTATGCGAGTATGGGACTCCTGTTCGACTCGCGTGGGAAAACTGGAACACATTTGTGTACCGTTTTTCGAACGGGACGTAAAATCGAAGTCCGTTGATCGAGGTAGGGAGTCGAGTTTCGAGCATGGCGACGATTTGAGGAATGAATTCTTTCTACGGGGGACGGTGGACTAGACACCGGCAGGTGAGAGCCTCTGTCGTCGCTTCTCTGGCCGGTGCTCGTGAGTGTCACACGCGCAATCCGCGGCCGAGTGTGCGAGTCGCGCCGAGGACACACTGTCGCCGGGGGCAAGAACACTATTGAGTTAATCAACTAATTTATAATTAAAATTCCTCGATGCGAGCGAAGGGCTCCCGGCCGCAGGCCGGGGTGGACGCGCAAGAAGCGGCCGCCGCCTCGCCGGCATCCGCGCATCGTTTCGCGGTACGAACGGCCGAATTCATAGAACACCAATTAACCTTTCCCATCCCCTTCCTTCGGCAACTCTTCGTCGGCCATCTCATCCGGATTCCCGCAGGAGTTCCCCGGGAGCACGATGCGTCATAAGAAATCGACCGATCGCGAGTTTTCCCCCTTAAATCGGGGATGGCATCCCATTCTTAGTGAGCAAATGTTAGATCAAGACTGAGAACATAATAATCTACCATGGTAGTCTTCATTTTGATCTTGTATATCAATTTTGGCCTGCCACTTTTGAGTCTTGGTCTTCATCTTTCAATTTCGCTCGGGCGCACTTTTTGTAAGACCAAGGGACCAAGACCGATTTTGCTCATCGCTACTCCTTAAGGCGAGATAAAAGTGACGTCAAAGAGGTCTCGTTTGTGAAACTTTTCTCCAAAACGTTGTCCTCTCAGATAACGCTTTCATCTCACCTTAACGGGTTGATTTCGTTAATTTCCGATTGCGGACGAAAATAGGGAGATAGGAAAAAATAGGGGGAAAAAAAATGGAAAAAGAGACGGGTCATTTTTCCCAGGCGTGTATTATTAGGCGAGGACTTTCTCCGGTCTCGGGCCGCCCTGCTGGCGAGGATTTCTCGAGCCGGTCGGTAAGCGATCGCGCGTGTCGCCTTACCGATCGAGCGATTTATCGGCGCCGATTACCCTACACGAGGCCGACAAGGATCTCTCTCGAGGGTCGAAGACGATCGAGCGGCGCGTTCGGTTTCCAGCCGAGGGGATCGGCTCTCGTCCGGGCGCTCTCTCGTCTCGTGTTCCAATAATAGAGAGGAGGGCTTTTTCAGCAGGCGATCTCGTTGTACTCCGATCGGAAAAATCGGCGCCGTCGCTCGGCTCTCCGCGTCGCCGGTGCCGTCGCCGTCGCCATTCGTGGCTAATCAAGCAGAAATACCCGGGATGCCACTTACCGAGCCCTGTCATGGCCGACTAGACACCGCCTCGAGATCGCATTAATTACGCGCACCGGAGAGCACTCGGCCTGCTTCCTGGGAGGGAGAGACGGGGCCCCGCCACCCACACGGCGGGGCCTGGACCCCGATTTCCCGCCGCGACGGCAAAAAGGCCCGACACCTCGGGAATCCGGGCCCCGTTCGGCGGGGCCCACCGCGAGGTGTCGCGAGGGGAGCGCCGAGTTTTTACGGGCCCCCCGGGCCCCGGACGGAATTCCGCGGGGCGCGAAGCGACCCGGGCCCTGGGAAAGTCGCGACGGGCCCCGGGATTTATACTTGACCCCTTTGGATGCGGTTTTTATCCGCGGCCGGAGTTGCACCTTATAAAGCCGGCCGGGAAAGGAGTCTAGATCTCTCCGGGAGGATAACTCGACGGGGAAAGACGGGCCCACGGGCCCACGGGCCCGCTGGCGCGTCAGGCCCCGTTAAATCACGGCGGCGCGTCCAAGTGAGACGTTAAGTGCGTTTTGCCGGTTTCTCGGCGGAGCTACGGTAAAGGCGCTCGCCGTCCCACAAATCCCCATTAGGGGGGCCGTACGCGCAAGTTGCATACCGGCGCGGTCCCCGTAGGTCCCCGACGGGCCCCGCGTATTTCACGGGGCCCGCCGGCCCGGCTTTTTCGGCCGCACCCGATCGGCCGCGTTATGGCACCGATTCGCCCGGATTCCGCGGCTCGGTGCTGGGCCCGGGCCCGGCCGAGAGGGAGATTAATTAGGGAGGATGTTTTACTCGCAAGAATCGCCGCAAGAAGGCCCCGGCCGCCACCGCTCGCTAACTAACCGACCGAGTAGTGTGGCCCTCCGAAGGGACCTCGTCACCTCTCGGCAAGAACGTGCTACAAATTAAACCGGGGCCCCATCAACCGTCCCAGAGATTCGCCGGATTCGCTCTTTGGGGCGCGAAGTCCCCCCCTCACTCTCGAGAATTCAGGGGCTCGTCAAATATATACACCCGAGAGGATATTTAATCGGAAATCAGTGGAAACGATTTCTTTCTTCGAGAGCCGATTGCCGTCGATTTCATGTGACAAATTCCAATGCGATTCGGTAGCGAGGGACAATCGGCCTTAAAATTGTGACGATGTTTCGGTGATTTCCAACGATTTCCATTTTTCGTTCTAAGATCCATGATTTCCACGGAAATTCGAGCATTTAAAATCTATAATTTCCCCACGCGAATAACCTCTCGTACCCGCCTTTTGGAAAAGTCAGTTCCTCTGGATCCTCCTCACGGATGCATCGACCGAGTCGTTTCGAAGGCGGGTTTTTGCGGGGTCCGATGCACCTCGTTGGAGTGCACCGGCTGGTTGGCTCCGTCCTTTTGTCCGGCCGAGCGTCGCCGATCTCCGATTTTCCGCGATCGATCGACCGGCGATATCGGGCAATATGGCGGCGGTCTCGCTAATGGCCGCGTCGGCTCTCGTCGAGCCGGAGACGCGAATAACCCCGGGCCCGTCGACGCGATCCGACGTACGACATACGACGCGCGACATAAGCCGGTCCCCGAGGTGGAGGTGGATCGCGGAGCGTGCGAAAAAGTCGGCTCTCTACCTACATACTTGCCTACCTCGAGTCTCCCCAGCCTACGGGACGCGGTCGCGCCTAGGAATAATAAACGGAGATAGACGAATGCAGATAGCCGCGGTAAGTCCGTCTCCGGGCCCACGCGGAGATTATCTCAAGGAGTTACGATCGAGCTCTCTCACTCTCAGGGCCTTCCACGTTATGTAAACCCGGCCCGAGTTCGCGAGTCGTCGACTCGCCGATTCGCTCCGTCAAATTCGATTTTTTCCCTGCGAGCTGTAGGATCACTGCTTCCCCGCGCCGATCGAAATTTCTCTGGATATTTACGTAACCATTGGCTATTTCTATGCATAGAGCTTGTAGAAACGGAGGAGACGTTGCTATAGGGTGGTTAGTTAAATATATGAGGTGTCAGGAAGAGGTTGGACGGAGAGAGGTACCCTTAGGGTAAGGTAATGGGTTCCTCGAGCGAGATGTCGCTTTCCAGGAAGGGAACCTATGCCTGGTCGACGTTGCATCCTGGCTCCTGGCGCATCGCGGGACCTCCACCTACCGAGGTCGACTGAATCCCTGTGCCTGGTAAAAAGTGCCCCGGCAATGGCCGCTGCACGTGCGAAGGTCGAACAAACGTTTCCTGACCCGGCAACCGGGATATTAGCGGACTTACTATCTACTTACTATCTGTCCACTTTTCACCGGATATGAGAGTTTCCGATAAAAAACGAAGCGCCGCATCCTGACGTGTCGAGAGTGGCACGCCACCGGTCGATTCCCGATCTAGTGATCTGTGTCTCTCGATCCCGACCATGATCTAGGAAGAGACGGATGGCGCGTACTCGGATGAGAGAAATTAAGTTTGGAAAGTATTAAAATAAGTTACCACGGGGCCATCCTCCCAGGCTATGCCACACCCTCGAGGGGGTATCAACTCAGGAAAATACCCGATATTTATTAATTTATTTATCGGATTTTAATACTCACGCGAAAATCGGCCAGAAATCGCAAGCAGAAATAGCGCTAGAAATCGTTGGAAATCACTAAAACGTTGCGACAATTTGAAGGCCGGTTACTCGTTACCGAATCGCATTGATATTTATCATATGAAATGAAAGGCAATCGGCTCCGAAAGAAGGAAATCGTTTTCACCGATTTCCAAGTGAACAGCCCTTCGCGCACCCCCTATTTCGTACCGATGAACAACGACCTCCAAGGTGCGCATTTTTAATTTTTAAAGTATGCTCGGTATAGAGCGTGCGGGGGTAAATATCACGAACTCCTGCCGTGCCCTGACTTTGCATACATAGAAATCCCAAATGGTGATAACGGTTATCGTATTGTACTTAAATGTGGTGTTATCTCCCTCGAAAAGGAGTGATTACTGGCGGAACAAGATGGCCGCCACGCTTCTTCCCCCACGTCTTGAGTTTCACTCGCGAGGCGATTCCATTGATCCATCTCTTGAAAGATGAGATGATCCACGATCTCGAATGTCGCCACCCACTCACGATCTCTCCCCGTTTTCTGTGTTTCAGATGCCATGGGTAAGTGGACGCAACCTACGTTACATTTTCGATCGACCGGTTGGTAAGTCAGAAAGATGCAACATTACTCTCCGACCGGAGCGCGGAATTCTTCCGCCGAGACGACGCGGCGCGGTGACGCAGCCTCGCCGGGATCCGGGACGAGTAATTCGCGGGATAAATTCGCGACACTCGGGAACTCATTCTCTCTCTTGAGAGAGAGAGAGAGAGAGAGAGAGGACGACGTCGGCGATTTAATCCAACGGCTCGTTGAAGGCGCTCGCGCGCATCATTGCCAACTGCGCTCGCTCGTGCGTGCACTTCGGCTCGGTCGGTTGTAGCAGATCGCGCGGTTACCGATCCGTTACGGGCGCAATGGTCCTCGCCAGAGTTTCTTCGACGGGCCCTCCGTCATCCGCCGAGGAGTGCAATAATAAACCCGACGTGCCGGGTTAATTGGGCCGATTAGTCCGCGCGGTCCGTTTCTAAATTGCGATTTCCCGAACGGGATGAAAATCTGTAGGGGGAAGAAAAATATATCACGGAGTAGGGGTATTTCAGGGAGGGATCATTTAGGTGATGGGTGATTTAGGTTAGGAACGATTTAGATAAAGGGCCAAGACGACGCTCGGGAAGATGAAATCGCCAGGGAAAGTGTAGGAAATCATCGTACATCGGTATCCGAGTTTTCGGTATTCCTCCCGCACGAACGAATCCTGGGATGACCCTTTAACACGGTCCCTAGGGACCGACAGTGAACTTTCCGTCTAGGTGGCGTCAGTTCCTGGGGACTGACACGACATCAAGAATCCGATATATAAAAAGTTCTGCCTCCTAAACGGAAAGCTCAGCAAAATCGGTTCCGCGCTTAACGTGTTAATCGGCGACTTCCATGAGGTTACCCGTCGAGAAGGGCAATAATAATTTCCCAGTCGCGATGAAAGTCGGTTTTAAGGAAAATAATCTATCACGAGGTAGGACCATTTCGGCGAGAGGCAATTCAAGCGATGGGCGATTTAGGTTAGACGTCTGAGCCGAGGGACGACTTAGGTTAGGGACCAAGACGACGCTCGGCAAGATGGCGGGGGAGGTAGGGACCGGGGTATCCATCGCCGAGCAAAGTGTAGGAAGTCATCGGACATCGGTATCCGAGTTCTCGGTATTCCTCCCGCACGAACGAATCCTGGCATGACCCTTTAGTCGGCGACTCCCACGAGGTCGGGTTCTCGGGTGTCGCGCGGCGAAAAAGGAGCTCGTATCCGTCGAAGATCGAATGACGGCCGGGCGGCTTTGGGCTTTGAGGGGGCCCCCGGAGGTGGGGGCGAGAGGGAGCGAGAGAGAGAGAGAAAGAGAGAGAGGGACTCGATCGTTTCTCGGGAAGTGCGGGCCTTTTTGCGGAGGCACCGCGTGTATCTTCCTGGCGTAATTAGGTAGTATAGTCGGACGTTAAAATAACGAAGGAGCCGGCGTCGGAGCCCGATAGTCGAGAGGGGGCGCGAGAGGGGCAGAGGGGGGCCGGTCCCTCGGGCCGCGCCGGGCCCTCCTGACTTGTCCTTAATGAAACCTCGAAGAAGCAGCGGGACTCCGCAGCCTTCGTCGGTTCTTCTGGCCGGCGCGGAGAGAGCGCGCACTCGACCGATCGACGACCGGTCGACGTCGTTAAGACGCACCGACCGCGCTAACGGCCGCCGCCGATATTCTAGGATCGTTACGGATCCTCGATATCGCTTGTAAAACTGAGTTACACGATTTTTCGACATTTTCGTGCGCACCTTCGTTGTCCACCGATCGATCGATGACCGGTTTACCTCGTTATCGACCGCCGCGGATACTCTAGAATCGTTAAAGGTCCTCGATATCCCTTGCAAAATTCAATTTCCCGATCTTTCGACATTTTCGAGCACACTTTCGTTGTCACCTGGTCGATCGACGACCGGTTTACGTCGTTAAGACGCATCGACCGCGTTAACGGCTGCCGTGGACGCTTAAAAATCGTTACAGGTCCCCGATGTCCTTAGGCCCTCGATTTTTCGTCATTTTCGAGCGCACCTTCGTCACCATCCGAGGAACTCTCGCGATCCCGCGAGTCGGGCCGGTCCGGCTCGCGGCCCCAGCACCCCGCGAAGGGTCCGACCAGAAAGACCCGGTGTAGTTTTTCTCCGTTAATTAGTTGCATTTTTTACGATCTCCCCCGTCTACCGGCGGCGTTGGCTCTCCGGGGCATAATGTCCGGCTTGTGTCTCCCGGATGGCCGGCCGACCCACTGACGGACACATGTGGTCGGACGCATGAGCGCCGACCATGTGGCGTCCGGCCCGTTTCGTGTAATTGCACCTCGCGCGCCTCTGTGGGTTTACGTAAACACCGGGAAACGGGAAGCCGCGTTCCTCCTCCCTTTTCCTCATTTCCTCCCTTCTTTCTCCCCGGCCGTTCCGCCGTTCCCAATAAATTCCGACGGCGGTCGAAAAAGGGGATGACCCGGTCTCCGAAAAATCCCGACCCCGGATCTCTTTGGGTAATTAGAATGCAAATCCCTCGAGAATGGGCTCTCGGGTCCGTCTCCGCCGTTTGCCTTCTCGCTCCTCGCGAGCGGCCGGCTGCGTTTAATGCGTTTTCGGTCCTGGAAGCAGTAAAGCGCGTCGCCTTTTATAGCTCGTTATTCCGCGAACCGATGAGAACGAGCCGGGCTACCATGTCGCGCATCTCGCGCCCGCTTACACAATGTCGTCGGCGCGTCCCCTCCCCGGGGTCTCTTTTTGCATATCCAGACCCATACCGAGAGAAGGCCCTCCCCGGTGACATTCAAGATCCCGAGATGAGCTCGCAGACGCCTTGGCGCCTCCCGGGGCCCGAGGGGGAGGACCCCCCGCGGGTCGGAAAATACGACGAAGTCTGCGCTGCGGTCGCCCGACAAATAGATTACGTGCCGCGAGGGTTTCTTCCGAGGGTTGCCCCAGGTCCGACCTCGCACATGCCGCTCACGTCCTCATCCTCCGATGGATCCACCCTCTCGCACTATGGGGTGGAGGCGCCCCCGCCCCCGCCCCCCGCGAGCTCCAAAAATTACTGCGCATCCTCCGGAGCATCCCAGCCAAATCCACTAACCGGTCCGTTATTAAATCTACGTCCGCATTATCCGAGCGGCCCCCCCTGCCCCCGGGGGGCATTAAAATTCGGGACTCGTCAGCTCTGCGGTGGAGGTGACTTATACGTCGGGACGCTCGCCGGAGGTCCTCATAGAGGCGAGATCTAGGTCCTGGATTATCCTCCTTGGGTTCTGAGGATCCTGCCCCAGCATCCGCCTTGGTTCGGAGGTGGTCGCCCCCGGGGGCGCTATCACTCGATAAGAACTCACCGCGGCCAGTGCTCCCCCCTTCTGTCTTTCTCGAATCTCTCTCGCCGCATGCGGCACTTCTTGCCGGGCCCGCGGAAAAACCGGACCGGACCGGGCCCCGTCGGGCCCTCTGATGTCGGGCTTCGCATTCAAACTTGTTTATCTACTTATATTATGTCAGTCGGGGCTAATTGGGCATATTTGAGATCGGTAGTCACCGGCCGCGGATGCTCGCACGTACCCACCACAAAGGGCCCCTTCCGTGGGGAGACGATATCCCCCGCTGAAGGTTAGCGTGCAAGAAGAGTCGCATAACTTTGGACGATCTCGACTCTGACGACCATCCGTCTTTCGGGAACTATCGCGCCATCGGGCATCCAACCGCCATCTCGACCCCCCTGGCCCCCCTGTGCCTCCCCCCGCGACCCCCTAAAGACCCGTGGAAAGATGCATCGCTTCATTCCCGGGCGTCCCGCCGTACCGCGAGAGTAATCTCCATCTCCCTTTCGGTCCTTCCCCTCGATCGGTCGGGATCGATTTATAGCGACCCCGCGGTCGTTCCGCCGCGACTCATCCGGGTGGAGGCTTCATCGCGTGGCGATCGCCTTCTAGGAGTCGCCTTACCCGGAAATGGCCGGGAATTGTATCCAGGCGGCGAATTACATCTCGGGTTGAAATTCTGATCCTATTTAGGATCAACATTTTCCTCAAAGGAGTTATCTCAAGGGACAACTCGAACGAGGAAACCCGCGCGATCGACGATCCGACGATCATCCTCAAATTCGAATTCCACCGTAATGAAGGACGGAAAGGGGGCGATGGGTCTTTAATAGTTCATAAAACGAGACCGATCGTCCCGATTCGGCGCAGCAGCGGCGCGCGTGCTCGGGGGGACCCACCGGCGAAGCCGACGGACGTTAACAAATATTGACGTCGCCAGGCCGACGTTAAGTGTAATCGTTAAAACCTCGACGACTGGTAACGATCTTTTGCCCAGGATCCCCGTAAACCCCTCGCACGTAGTTAAGGCGGTGGGGGAGCCACCGGTCGGCCTTAAAGTGACGGGAATCGCGACGTTTATCGAAGTCGGGATAGCCGATCGTCGTTTCCGCGTCTCCTGGGGGGGAGTGCTCCCCCGGGAGACGGGAAGATAAATTCGATATCCCTGTGGGTCATTTGCCTCCGGCGGATGCAATTAATGCAAGATGGCCGCCGGCCGAATGGCGCGCGTCGGGGAAGGACGGCGTCGATTCCCCGGCGAATCTCGGGCCCGATCTCGGGGCCCGGTAACGAAGGGCCCGGGACCCGTAAAAATCGCTGCCGGCGACCCCCCTGAAAACGACGCTTAACGTCGCCGGCTCGGAATTTACTTAGAGACTCCCCTTCGAAATAAGTCGCGTTATAACGCGAACCGGTTTAACGCGGCCGAGTGAACTCGGCTCTCGAGAGCCGGGCCCCTTGCATCTTAATGTCGCTAATCGGTTGCGACCGGCGCTTAACGAGTCGATTAGACAAGACCGCGCTCGCGTTGCCCGGCTTAAGCGTTCTCCTCCCCTGGGAACGAACCCGGACTCTCGTCGGCGAGCGTTTATCGCCGCCCCCGCGGACGGCGTTCGTATTCCGGCCGGGATCGGTGGCGCTAGATAAAAAATTGAAACGCGGCAGATAAGAGATCGGGGGGCGTCGG